GGCGGCCCTGGGCCCTGGGCAGAGGCCGGGCAGGCCCCGGGGAGCCCCGAGCGCCTCACAGAGCGGGAGAGGCGCCTCACCCCGGCGCTCGCAGCGAGAATCGGGAACTGCGCACGGCTCCTGTGGTTTGGGGTAAACTCGAGGGCCCGCAGGGTTTATCTGCAGCTTTTCGCCCGTTTTTTCGTCTCATGAACCGAAGAATTGCCTTCAGTGCGTGCTGGGGAGGGCCCCTGAGAAAGGCGGTACTCGGAGGGGGCTGACTCTTGGTGTGGCTCCAGGCGTCTGTGGAGGCCGGAGCCATGAAGTTTAGGGAGATTTTATTCCTGGTTTAGCTGGTTTAGCTGAGGGAGTGTAGAATCGCAGTTGCTGGCATGTCGGACAGGGATACAAGGGTTAAACTACTGAAGGGACTCCCGCGCAGAAAATGCTGTGCTTTCCCACAGAGCGCAGTTGTAGCGTGTCTGGTCCGTCAAGAGTTAATGTAGTAAGGTGGCTTGAGCTGAGACACGTGTCTTTTAGCTAAAAGGAGTCATGGGTTGGATGCCTTTCCATGGGTAGGACGTCCCAGAGGTCTTTCTCTGCCTCCCAACAGGTGTTCCTGAGATGTGGTCGGTGTTGCATCCCTCAGAGGGGAGGGCACAACAGGAACCGATTCTTCTCCCAAACTGCCTGCATCAGTCACACCTCATAGAAAATTTGTCTTTGAGGTCTGCGGTGTTTCTGTTTAAAGACCCTCCCGTATCTTAGTCAGTGTCTTTTGATGGAGAAGCATCCAGCTCCTAGCTGATTTATTCCCATGAGTAAATAATGAGGCACTTGACACAGGAGTCCTGTACAGCGCATGAATGCCTCAAAACCTGTCTCTCTGAATATGTATGCATGATGTTAACGTTGGTTCATCTTCAGCAGCCTGCCTTTTCTCTTGCTCCTCTTGTTTCCCAGTTGGTGGAAAAACAATTTGTCAGATCCTTTGACCACGTTTGAAAGGCAAACTTCCTTTGCAATGTAAAGAACAATAATAAAGAGAAAACCCTTTGTAGCTGTTCCTAGAAAAGTTTCAGTGTGGCATGTACTTCATAACACTACTTCCTCCACCCTCAACCCAAGTAACCACATTTTTAGTTTGTCTTTTATGTTTAAAGAGTAGCTGTCTTTAGAAGGATGTTGAGGCAGAGAAATGTCCTGTAATAGTTGTATCAGCTGCATATACCCTGCAGGGCAGTGATGCTTAGGGGTGTTGGCTGCAGTCCCTCACTAGGTCCTGGCTGTGTCAGGAGGAAATCTGGGTTTGTTCCATTCCTCCACGTGTGCTCATATCCTTGGGACAGGTGCTGAGTGTGCAGTCTGTGTTCTTCAGCAGATACCTTGCACTGAGTCAGTGGGAAAGCCAGGACCGTCAGGATTGTTTGCCTTTCAGTGTAAATAGCTTTATATAACATAACCCAGAGAAGAGAAGAGGCCTGTCTGAACCATTTTTGAGGTGCAAAGTGCTGCCTAGCACTGCTTTTTCCCCTGCCTCTCTCATATGCATATAAAACTGTGGTTGAATTCTTTTGTGGTGGGCTAAAATGATCAGCAAAATAATTTTCCTGATGCTTGGCTGTTTGTGTCAATGTAGGTACTTAGACAGAAATGCATGCTAAATTTCACAGATCTGTATGCAATCTCTTCATGGGAGAGTGTCTCTATAATATAGTAAGAATTTTATAACACATTGTATTTCCAATAATTAAAGAAAGAAATCTCCAGTGGTTTATAAGGCATCCTCATTTTCAAGTGAGAGATAGAGTGATATAGAAATAAAACAACCTGCCTGAGGGCAGACAGTACATCAGATCAGAGAGTCAAGACTGTAATGGAGAACTTTTTTGGGTTTGGTTTTAATTTTTGCCAGTAGATCCCATTGCCATTAAATATGGTTTTTCCTCAGCAGCACTGTGTTGTCTCCCGATTTTGCTCCTTACACCTGTTGACTGCAGAGGAAGCTGGATTCTACTGTAATTTGAAAATTTCACTTTCCAGCCATAATGTATTTTTCTACATTTCAAAGTTGCTGTGAAACAGTTTCTGAGAAATGTGTAATTGTAGTGTTTCTTTTACTTTCTTTTTCTGTTATTTTTCTATTCAGCTTCCATGAATCTTTCCACCATGAAACAGCTGCCTGGAGAGACAATTCGACTCCTTTCAAGTTCTCAGGTGATTACTTCAGTTGTCAGTGTGGTGAAGGAGCTGATAGAAAATTCCTTGGATGCCAGTGCTACAGGCATTGATATTAAACTGGTAAGTCTTTCTCAAAAAGAATTGGATATAAAATAAGATACCAGGAAAATCGTTCCACTGCAAATGTGGTTTTTTAGCCTATTGTGATTTGGGGAATGGCAATGATTATTATATATTTCTAAGTATATATTTTTACCTCAAGTAAAAATGGTACAAAATTAGCTTCAGTTTGTGTTTTTGAGGCCCTGCTCTGAAACAGTATGGCATATTTGTATTTCTGAGTGCATTGTGGGGAAAAAAACTGTCAGCTTTCTTAATCCTTCTTTTCCTACTTTATGTTTTCTGACTAATAGCCTGTTTTGTTGGATTTAGGTTTGCTGTTAGGCTGACATATTTATTGCTCATTACAAAGTATTTTAAGAAAGGTGAAAATCGAGACAGTGGAAAAGCTTGATGGCCATTCAAAACCAAAGATGTTTTCATAATACAAATCACCACCCTGTCTCTAATTAACATGGTGAACTCTGGCTGCTTCCAACTCTATAAGCTGTTGAAAAAAGTTGACATGTCTCTCAAGGATAGTTTCTGACAATAGAAAATGCTATTTTCTATTAATAAAGATTTTGAGCTGTTTTTCCCAACAAAGTGGGTAAAATGGGCAACTGGTCAGCTTCTCTTGCTGTCCTATGTCTGCTTTTGCATTGTTTTGTCAGCAGCTGTATAGAAGCAGTATCTCCTGCTTAGTAAGAAAGAAGCGTTGTTATATTCTGTATAAATGTATGTATTCAGAATTGTGTCAAGTTTCCTTTCTGCAAATAACAGTGAATGTATAGGATATTCTTGAATTAAATATTAGACAAATGCTCATAACTAGAAGGGCAATTCAGTTTCTCTTGTTTCTTTGTCCATGTCTGCTATATTTTCTGTCTAGTGTTTTTTTTCCATCTGAGAATGCTTTCCTGTAAATCCCAAGGAACATGCTTGTTACTGTTTTGAGTGAGCTGAAGATGTTCTGTCTTTGCTATGGTCTCTCATAATCTCTGTCTTCTCAATGTTTAGATTGCAGAGTATTGTTTCATGAGTGACTCCAAAGTGAGTAGTGCATGCACAGTTGTGGGGTTGTGGCAGTAAAGGCTATTGGGATCAGAGCCTGGGAGCTGATCAGTAGCTGCAAGAAGTGAACAGAAAGGTTTTGGAGTGTTCCACAATGGTTGGAACAAACCTTGCAGAGGAGAGAGCCCTCTAAGCAGTGTGAGTTTCACAGCACAGTAACCAGCTGTGTCCCAAATCAATTAAAAAGAGCATTTTTATCCTTTTTCAGTGCATGAGTCATCTACACCACTCTTACATTGTTGTGTCAGTCCAGCCCAATCCAAAGCACTGTAGCTCCAAACAAACAAACCTGGCTTTACTCAAGTTGTCAGTGTTTAAAAGAGATATGATGATTATTCTTCTGTGGGTATTAGGGGAGAAAACCTGCACTCTGCACAACTCTAGACAGTAGTACTGTTAAACAATGGATTTTTTCTGGTATTTTTTAATGGGAAATTAAAATAACTCTGACCATTTAATAGAGGTCAGTGACCACATTAATTCTGCATTAGTTCAAAAGCATAACAGAGAAGAGAAGAGAAACTTTGAAGTTCCATTTTGCAGCTTGATGGGTTTTGCCTGAAACAGCAGCATTTTCATTGTTAAAATCTTTTTCAGATGGAATAGGAGGGCATAGTTTATCCAATTTTCCTGAACAAAGATAACAATTACCTTTTGACAGACAGACAGGAATTAACTGGGAAATGGAATGGGTCTCAGATAAGAGTCATGGCAATGGTGAGCTGTAGTGGGAAGCTTTGGCTGGTGTTTGTCTTGGTTGACCAAATGCCCATAGGTGATGTTATTTGGCATCATTGCATTGCGTATCAAAGCTGAATCATACTGATTGGCATCAGTGACCTGGCAGAGCAATTTAAACATTTCATGGGTTCATAACCTTGGTAAGATTCAGCTTGTGGAGGATGGTGTTACAAAATACAAAGTTTAAGTACTGTAATATTTACATAAAACACGCACAAGTAAAAATTAATAAGATTAGAAGAGAAACAGAGAATTGTTTATGTTACATTTTGATTCAAGATAAATCTCACTCTTTTTAAGCAGCTAACTAGTCTGAAAATAAAAAATTAGAATGGAAAATAGAGGCTCATTGTAAAGTTCTCAAACCTTTCATTAGCACATACAGAAGCAGGGTAGAGGGTTTTCTGCCTCTATTTCCTTATGTGTTGTTGTGCTCAGTTGAGATGTATTGCTTAATTCTGTTTTGCTGCCCAGTAGGAGGTTGACTCAAACATAAGCAAAAGCATTTTTTTTCACCTGAAGACAGCTTTTGCACCATTCATTACAACAGAAAGTGAAATGTACCCATATTTCTGTTGTGTTTTGTGTATTGTGGTTCTGAGCCTACCTCAGAGCTTTTGATGTTCCATAAAGCAGATTATGTGTGAATACAGATGGTTTCTTTAGATACCTTTCTTTTCTTTTTGATTGCATAATTTTTTTACTTCAAGAAGTAACCTTGTGAGTACATTATAATTTTTCATAACTGTTTTCAGGATAGAACCAAGTAGGACAGGGAAGTTTGTTCTCTTTAACCAACCTGCTTTCAGTGATCAACCATCACATGCTCTGTCCAGCATTAGTGGTGGCAGCCGCTGTTTTAAGATACTCTTCCTAAGCAAAACTAGTTTTAAGGTCACCCAGGTGAATTACACACTACAGCACATTTTTTGTGTGTTGCATCATAATCTTTTCGAGGATCCAGTCTTGCTTCTGTGAAAGAAGCTTAGTTAGTGATCCTGCATCTCTGATTACTTTCTCCTCCTGGGTTGTGGTTCTTCCGGGTGCTGCTCACTTGTGCAGACTGTAACGTAGCTGGAAAGAAGAATTTTTTGCTTTACTTGTTTGAGATATTACAGAATCTAAATTTAATCTTTTATTTGGCTGTTGTAAATACCTGGTTTTCAGAGTTTTTCCCTATTTATGCTGGTGCTCACCAGAATGACCTATTTAAACCGTAATTCAGTAAAATATGCATTGCGTGTATGAAAAGGTAAATCACAAAGATTGAACTTTGCTTCCATGAAGGCTGTTTTAAATGAGCCTCTAGGAACCTTTACTTCTTTTTGTAAAGTACTGTATCTCTCTACAAAATTTTTATTACCCTCACCATTCATGCTACGCCCCCCATTAGAATTTCAGTTTCTGTGTATTGAACTTGGAAAACAGAGCTTGGAAAATGTGGTGGAATCATATCAATCAAAATTGAAACTGAAAACGGCATGAAGTGAGGGTCTACTGAATTTAATGGATCCAGAGCTGCATTCAAGTGGTTTCAAAAAAATTGATACCAAGTGGGTAAGAGAGGTAAAAAGAGGTGAAAAATCTTCAGCTTTCCAGCTATAGGTCCCCTTTAGAGCTTAGGTCTCCTTTGGTTTTGCTGTTTACAAATAACTGGATATGTGATGTTATCTGTTATTTAATTGGAGAAACCATCGCTATTACCCTAACATGGTATATTTTTCTTTTATTTTTTTTCCTTAAACAGAGACATTTAATGGTTGCTCAGTTCCTCCAAACAAGCAAAACTTCCACTTCTGTATGGATAGTTAGCATCTGTAACCTTAGCTGCTTCAAACTTGTGTCTTCATTAATTTGGTTGTTTCACTGCTCCTCCTTTGTGTTTTGTTCTTTGTTCAGGAGAATTACGGGTTTAGCAAAATAGAGGTAAGAGACAATGGCAGTGGAATCAAGGTTGATGATGTTCCAGTTATGGCAATTAAACACTACACCTCAAAAATCAGCTCTTCTGAGGACCTTGAAAGGCTGACAACATATGGTTTCCGTGGGGAAGCTTTAGGATCGATTTGCAGCATATCAGAGGTGAGCACTTGCTATAAATGTCTAGCCTTTGTGTTACGATTTTTGTTGTCTGTATGTTCGGGAAAGTTTTATTCTGTGCAGAGTTTAAATGTTGCAGCAGCCTGCCAGCATATGCTGCCTTTCTCCCCAGCCCCAGAAGCCACGTCATATGAATTTGTTGTCTGTAGCAGTCCTGCCTTTCTGTCACACAGGTCACAACAGTGCTCTGTTTATTTTGCTCAATCAGAACAGGTAACAGACAGATTGTGTTGTATTCTCCTTCCTTTTGTATCAGGGAGTATCTTGGAGTATCAGGGAGTCAAAGATGATGGTTGGCTTTGCTACATGAATTAGGCTAAACCAAGAGAGGAGCAGCAGGTGATGGCCAAGAGAAGTAATTTCAGGGAAATGATGGCCCACGTAGACACCATTCCAGAAACAATTTCTGCCTTGTTATCTAGGTGATCAGCAGTCATGGGATCTTGCTGGGCTCCTTATTGCCCTTTGACATGTATGTGACTGCAATTGCACAAACTTTGTCCCTATGTGTAAACAGGAACCTGCTACCTGACCTGAGTCTGAGCCATATGTTTGTGTTAAGAGGATTGGCAGTGTACTGACATTTGCGACTTAACTTGTTGGCTAAAAGTAAATATGTTTGTTCAAACCATCTGAAAAGTGTTCGGCCTGCTAAAGGCACAGCATCTGCCTGTTCTCTTGTGCTCTCCCATTCTGAATTCATGCTGCTCCAAGGTCAAGTTTTGGATTCAAGTCTGCCAAGGATTAGATTGTGGAGGAAGATACCAATGTCTGTATCTGGTTGGAACCATCAGCTGTTGAGGTCAGGAGAGATCATCTTACAGCTTCACTCCTTGGTACCTTGCACTGAATTCACATTGCACTAAGCAGGAGTGGGTTGTGTATTTGAATGGAGATTTCCAAAGATGCTTACAAAAGTGTTGGTGTTTTGATAGATGATGACAGACCTCAATCATTGGTTCCTTCTAATGGGCTCTCAGAGCAGAATGCCATCTGTTCAGAGCTTCTAATCAGCTCTATGGTATGTTTCATAAGAGATGGGAGGTGGCCTGAGTGTATGAAGTGCTTTAATAGGTATTACTCCGTGTGTCAGTAATTATGTTAATTAACACTCCTGGCATTAATTGTGTTCTGCCTACCTAGACTGCCCTCTGAAATTTCAGTTTGAAGGTACTTTGCTATTGGCCCTTAAGTAGGTCTGCAATACTGTAATTTACAGTTAATCAATTATTGTTTTTCTCTCCAGGGGCATGACTGAATGCTGAATATTCATGTGAGACACTAAAATAAACCAAAATATCCTGAAACATGTGTGTTGAACTTTGTCTTCCAGGTGGTTAAAGGGCAGTGTTTCTGTTATTCACAATGTTGGTACCTGAACTCTGATTTATGACTGTTCTTGCTAAAGCAATCTGTGCATTACCTTAATAGCTTACAAAACTTTCTGTGACTGATTGCCAGACATGTTTAGGTGTGGAAAGATAATATATTGTTTGTTTGAGAGTAGTCTTTAAGTTTGTGGAATCTCACATGAATTTAAGTTGTTACAGTGTGTTTGCCTCACAGAGGGTAAAAATATAGACCTGTCAATTGATAAAGTTTATTTAATCTGTGCTAGAATAGAAAATAGAGCAGTGTGTGTTGTAGATAATAGGAATTGCTGTGCTTTTTGAAGCAGTGTGTAGAAATGCTTTTAGTTAAATGGCAGGAAACATGCAGAATAATGCGGAATGTTTCTGTGCCTGTAAGAAATAAGTGTGTAAGAAAAATTTTATAAACTAATTAAATGTACTTACGATGACTAAAGTAGCAGAGTGGTGAGTGTGGTAGCAAAGCTTATCTAAGCTCATTCTGAACTTTGTCTATCCCTGATTAATGTAGGGTTTCTTTTTCAATCACTCTCTTCAGGTTTTGGTCACAACAAAGACAGCTGCAGATGATTTCAGCATTCAGTATGCTTTGGATAGCAACGGGCATGTAACCTCTAAAAAGCCTTCCCATCTTGGGCAAGGTAGGCTATCACGGTTCTGGTGTTGCAAAGTGACAGATGTATTTTGTGTTCCTCTGAGGCTCTATCTGATGTTGAAATACTTGTTGGGTATTTAAAGGCTGAGTATGAAATCTTTGCAGCTGCAAAAGTTTCTTGCCTTGTGTCTGTCAGCTGAGAAGGTGTTGTCATAGCGTAAGAAGTGGTATGTCTTGGAAATTGTTCTAGATTGTAATTATAAACTACTTTCTCCTTCTCTGACTCACTTCTTCAAGCTGACAATGGAAATAAAACCTGTAAAAATTAAATGCTCCAAGTCTGTATAAGTATATGAAAGATTTCTTCAGAATTAAAGTAATGCTTCTGTATATAGCAAAATCCTTGCGTAAAGGAGGAAGAGTTGTCCTGCTGCCATGCATAGGAATTGCTGGAAGCAGCATGGCTGTAGTACCTGGCAAAGTCACAGTTCTTTCTAACCTGCAAGAAGGGTGTGTACCTAATTTTTACTAAAGATTCTTTTTAAGATTTAGCCTGTATAGTGTTTTCCACAGCCGGAAAGCCTGCGGGTTGCAGTGCCTTGTCTTTCATAGAAATTGTTGAATTCGCTGACATATTTAATGCTTTGCAAGGTCTTTATGGGCTAGGAATTTATGTGGTTGTGTTGGTAGATGAATATTCCTCCTCCTGTTGTGTAGTGTACCTCGAGCAGAAGTATATGGCACTTCAGGTACTACCCTAAAGCAAGTGCTTGTGAAGGCCCACAATGTCACACAGTGTTCCTTTGCCTCCAGATATGTGTGATTAGATTCTAGTTTGTTAATTAATCATTTTGCTAATGAAAGCTAACTTAAGCATTGAGAGAGTCTTCAGCTTTATTTAGTGCTGATTCTTGCTATTGTTAGTGTGTATGAAAGAAAGCTTAATGCTGCAGTCATAACTAAATAAAGGAGAAGAATCAAAATTCTTGAGATACCTTTTGTGGGGGGATGGCAGATAATTTGGTGTATTTCTTCTCATGCTAATAACCTGATTTAGTGCAGCAGCATGCAAACCTGTCTAAGTAAAAATAGTTTTTGTAGTATCCAGTCAGTGATTTGCGTTCAGAGTAATTTCTCCTTTATTTTTTATCACCTGCTTGCAGGTACCACAGTAACAGTCCTAAATTTGTTTAAGAATCTTCCTGTAAGAAAGCAGTTTTACTCAACAAGTAGAAAATGTAAGGAAGAACTGAAAAAAGTCCAAGATCTACTGACAGCATATGGCATTATAAAACCAGACCTGAGGATAACATTAACACATAATAAGGTAATAATGAGGTTTTTTTCTGTCAGCTGTCTTAAGGATTGGTTTTTAATGAATCCATGCAGTTCATGTAGTACTTATATAAAATCTTTCATTCCTAACATTTTTCTTGGATCATAGCTTTGTTTTGGATTTCCACTTACTTTTTTCCTTTCATAAGTGTATATTTATAATGGCTACAGATTTTGATGTTAAACCTCTAAACATTCAGGCTCAGGTATTTTTGGTCTCTTGCAACAGGTGCCTGGTTAGAGATATGAAGTATAAAAATTATTTTACACGCTAGTGGTTAGTAAAGGAGGTGCTGTTTTGCAAACAAAATGAGAACCTAGTAACCATGGCACCTGATAAAGTGTTAACCAAAGCCTTTTGAAAAAACTTGCAAAACTTAGTATTTTAGGCTGTCTACCTGAGTAGAAGCTATAGTTCATTACAGGCAGCTGTATTCTGAGTCACAAGAGCTCAGTGTTGCCGCCTGTTCATTCCACAGCGGGCAGCGTCAGCTCAGTACATAACAATGGTTTTATTTTAAAAGGCTAGAAACTTCAAAACCATTTGTCATTGGTTTAAGATCAGTGACATAATAACAAGCTTTAGTTGAGCTAGTTGCTTTTGGTTTAGATTTGGGAGAATGAATGCAGAGGTTACTTTGAGGTTTCTTTGACTTGACTGCATGCTGAGTGGTAATTCTGCATCACAGCTACAGAAATGACCTGTTGAGCAGTTCGCCTTAACCTGACACAAATTTAACATAAATTTCATTGGCTGTATCCTGGCTTTTTACCCCTCTGAGGAGGAAGCTGTGCTAATAAACTTCCAAGTTTCCACAAAGTAGACAGTGACATCTTGTGGCCAGATCCCTCAGCAATTCTGATCTGTTCTGAAATGATGCTGTTTGTTGGTATTTGTCATGCTCATTGAGACTTGATCAGTTACCCCATCAATCAAACATTCACGCTTCAGTTCCTTTTCAGTGGGAGTAGGAGAAGGCACTGTGTGCTTTTCTGAAATGACAACAGATTGCCCTTCCTTTTCTGGGCTTGTTTAATATGCTTTGATTGTATTTATATATGTATTTTTAGATACCACTGTGTAGATACTGTGAAAAACTAAAGCTGGCTACAGAATTAGTATTTCAAGGCTGAAAAAGAGTAGCTACTTGCAGTCTTATTTCATTGCGATCACTGAGAGTTTGAAACCAGATATCTGGGGGGGTGTCTGCTTCCAAGATTGTATTGAGCTCCTCGATGTATCTACCCGTGGTTGACAATACTGGTCTTAAATGTTGGTTAATAAAATTAATTTTGTCTTCTTGGTGGTTTGTTTTTTCCCTCTCCAACAAGTAACAATGCTGTTTTCTTGATGGTATTTTGATTTCATCCTTTTGATCTATGAGTATCTTAGGGTAATTTTTTCTCTGCTTATTTTAATCCAGTGGCAGTAAGGTACAAGAAGATGATCACTCGTATATTTCCCAATACTTCCTGCAAAAATGGTGTGAAGAGTGGCATGATAGTTGCTATTGCACATTGGGAGGTTTTTTTGCACCTCTCTTATTAGCTTCAGGGGTACATTCTTTAATACTCAGCTTGAGGGGTTATATGAATGGCTAAAAAAGTTTCATTCATTATAATGACAGAGATGGTGCTGGTTTTTTGTACTCTTTATTTTGTACTACTAGCCTTTTGTTAATTTATTTTATAAAAAACGGAAAAGAAGTGAGAAAGTGCTCAAACATTTCATCACAAGAGGTCGCTCAGTAGCTGTTGCTGAGATGAGGAAATTAAAGGCTTAAGTAGAGTCTGTGTGTGTGGAGATGCTTTAAAACAGTCTCAAAGTTAAAAACTGAATGGAACTTTAAAAAATTTGAATTCAGGTTCCTCTCTTTCTACTGACATTGGCATTCTGTGCAAAATGAAAAGTCGCATGTTGTATCACACCTTTTAAAAAATTTCATATCTGTGCTATAGTAATACTGTGCTGAATAGTGTTGTTGGTGATTTTTTTTTATGTGTGGCTGTTATATTTTTTGTTAGAAATGTATTAGGAGAAAGAATCAACTTCTTAGAATACCTTTATTTTTTATGTAGCTCATAGATTATATGTTCATTTAAAAGACAAATTGTATATGCAGTTATTCAGAGGACTTCTTAGAATCCCAAATTCTTGAGGCTGAGCCAGTACTTTCTGTTGCAATGGAAGAAGAAACATGTTGGGAGTATGATCAGGTTCCAAGGCTTAAAAGAGCAAGAAGATAGCAGAGATGAGCTATTACAGAAGAAGACCAGGAAAGATGGATTGAAAGACTAGAAAAGGTAGTAAGTGAAAAAAGTGTAAATGAAAATGTATTTCAAGGAAGTTTTCTAAATAAATTACAAAACCAGTACTTAAAAATAATAGCCACACCAGAAAACAAAACCAAAAACAACCCTCCCCCAGGAAAACCATATCCCCCCAGTTTTTAAAGTCCCATCTTTTATATGAAATTGAAAGCGAATGGTGGGTTGGATGGGGTTTGAGCAACTGGTCTTGAGAAAGGTGCCTATGGCTGGGGAGTTGGAAGTTGATCTGCAAGGTCCCTTCCAACCCAAACTATTCTGAAAGGCTTTGCTGGGGAAGAATGAAATAAGGCTGAAGCAAAGTATCTGAGGTTAGGCATCTGAAAATGGTTGCCTGATTGATTCCAGCAGAAACTTACTTGGGCAAGTCAAGCCTCTTATTGAGCTGTTGAAGTATAGATGGTTTTAGGATGCATGCTACATTGCATGTTGAATATCCACCAGATTTGATTGGGTTTTTTCAAAAGGTGTGTGTCTTATGCTTTTGAATGAAATTTCCAGAAATTTTTTCTTCTCCCTACATTTCATGTCTGTGTTAATTTGGAAAATATTGATTGCCATAAAGTGTGGTTCTTCACAGAAAAGAAGTCAGAAGAGGTCAGAAAAGATCTTCCAGCCTTTGGTTGATTTTTAGTGGGTAAGAAAATAGATAATCTCTCTTCCTCCTCAGATTTATTTATTGTGGACTCTTCATCAGTGACTTTCCAAGATAGGAAACACTCGATTCCTCTTTCTGCTCAGAATGTTTTGTTTGCATTAGCAATAAATAATGAATCACTTTGCAGATCAACCCTTGAAGTACTATTGCTATTTTGACAACTTGGATTAGCTAGTGCTCCTTCTTTTTATGAAGGTTTATCCTGCCAAGACATTCTTTGAATACTGATAATGTTGATCCTCTTGCCAGTATGGTTATGTTAGAAAGAGGTATTTTTCTTCTTTCATCACCATGTTCCTTGAAAGCATATTGAATAATGAGACAGCCAAATGGAAATAATTTACATGAGTATTCAGCAAGTTTATTTAAAGTTAATGTTATCTGAAGGCGTGTTAAGAACATTTCAAAGTCAGCTACTGCTTAAACTGCCTCAAATCCTTCAGCCCCAAATGCTGTATTCTAGCAACCTGTGAGCTCTGGCTGTGTTTTACCTAAGGTGGTAAAACACAGCTTTTAGTAGTTCCAGCACTTCTCTGGAACTGCAGTTTACACACTCTTCTCTGTTTAATACTGCTAGCCCTTGGCTCAGTCTCTACAAACCACTGACGTTGAAGAAATATCCATCTGTTTTCTAAGACTGATGGTATGGAATGCTTTAATTCTGTTTCAATTGCCTTTATTCCACAAATGCCAGAATGACCAAGGACACCCAGTAACTATACCTATTTTAACAATATCAGATATTATAGAACCAAAAAAATTTCAGCAACAGATGGTTTAGATGGTGCCTATCAGCAGGTCATACTGTGTACAACTGGTTCCATGTCTTGTGCAAAGTACAGATGAGCCTTAAGTAGGCTCTGTAAATTTTCCAGTTCCTGTTGAGGAAAACTTGGCATAAGTGAATATTTTTTTTCACACATAACATTTTGAAGCTTGGTCACATGCAGTTCTGCCTAGAACTTGTTTGTTTCTTAAGAGAGTCACAAGTCAATTTTTTTGATGCAAAGTCCATTTAAAAAGTCTTGTAATAACTGTGGATAGTATTCTTCCCCAAAACCCCTTTTGTTGGTGGTGCTGACTTAAAGGATGCCATCTTTATGTTTCCTTTACAGTAGGTCTCCTCTATTTTCCAAAGTTGCATAATTTTAACCAACAGTTTGTTTGAAATAATCCAAATCCGGGTTTTTTTTTTCTGTGTCCCTGCCCTCTGTAGTAAGTGTGGATTTTTTGAGATTGAGTATGTTAGGGTAAATTTAAATCCAGGGGTTTTCTTTCTGTGTCCCTGCCCTCTGTAATAAGTGTGGGTTTTTTGAGATTGAGTGTGTTAGGGTAAATTTACTATTTTTAATAATGTCAGTATACTTTGCATTCATTCATTGTGCTTCCAAAATCCGCTGTAGCTGCATGTTGAAAAGAAATCTGAATTGTGCAGAAATAGCAGCGCATAAACTCTATCTTGAGTTGGACAGGCTACTCTGTTTAATGTAATGATGATGAATGAAATCCTCCCTTAATCTCCGTGTCTTAAAATATAAAGAGGAATTATGATTAAGAATCTGCAGCCAACATGCTTCCATGCTAACCTGGATTACAGCTCAGTCTTTGCTTCTATTCGTTGTTCAGTGGCTTTGCTGAGAAAGCCAAACAGAGAGTTAATTATGGTGTTTTTTTTGTGCTGAGGACACCTGTCCACTAGGAAATGCGCTGAGACCCTCAACTCAATTTACATCAGCCAGAGAACAGCTGCCAGATGGTAACTACTTTTGGTCACTACCAACCTGGTTGAATTTGAACTGGTGACCCAGAGGTGAAATGCTTTATATCCTATTACTAATTCCTTGAGGTTTCCAGTTTCTCATCCATCACTTTTTTCAAATGACAGCACAGTATATGTCTAAAATCTCAAAACAATTACTGTTTCACATATGCAGTGTGTATTGCAGAATCTGAGATGTGCCTTTGCAGGGCTTTTGGACCTACACTGTCAGCTTAAAAAGGTTAGT